CCTTTTGTACACAGTGTTAAAATTTTAAAGCTTATTCTTGAGCCAATACAAATTCTTTCCTGGGATCACTCAAAATAAATCTTCTAAAACATGTAAATATGCATCAGTAAACGTTATACATAGGCCTAATAGAACACATAGGCCTAAATCCATAAATCTCAGGCCAGGTCTTTAAAGATAGAAACTACTGAAGAAGATACTGTGGTTCAATTTCGTTTTTATCCTTTTGCAAGTTTCTTTAAATTTTTGTTTAATAATACTACTACTAATAGTAATAATAATAATAACAATGATGATGATGACTATAGTAATAATTGATAATAATATTAATAGCAATAAAAAGTGAAGAAAATTGTGCTAAATGCGAAAAAAGTTGTGATTTGTTGATCATAATTATTATAGTATATATAGTTAAAGCTTTGTAAGCTATAGTTAGGCCTAAGTTGTCCTGGATATTAAGTAGATCCTTGATAAAAGATCATGAGAAATTTGGCGCTTCATTTTGACTATAATGGTGATGTGATGATGATGAATTTTACTATATAAAAGTGTCATTTCCAGACATCTCAAGAGGTACTATTTCCTCAAATTTTCTCACCTCAGCCCCAGCCATGGTGGGGCTGAGGTGGTTGTGAAATCACGTTTTTGGAGTATGCCTATCTAAAGTACATATTCAAAGACCATGTTTTTAAGCTTTGTTTTCTATGGTATATCACAGACATTAATAAGATCTCTATGGTTGTCAAAAATCCCTGATATAAGATCATGAGAATTTTTTTTGGCGCTTCATTTTGACTAATGGTGATGTGATGATGATGAATTTTACTAAAAGTGTCATTTCTGGCCATCTAGAGGTACTATTTCCTCAAATTTTCTCACCAATAAATAAATAAAAATGACAAAAAATATAAGTTTATAAGTACAGTAAATAACATAAAAATTAAATATTGGTGGTAATGTGTTTCATTAGTTCAGTTCTTTCAGTCATTGCTTTTGTTAAATATGTTTTACAATGGTTATCAAATATGTAAATCACAAAATTTTCATTGTCTCCTTTTCCCTATCTTCCCTATCTGCATATCAATTTGAGAGATCGACTAAACTAGTGGTAGCCACTGTCTAGCATGGAAATATTTGGTGCTGTCTCTTATACACATCTAGATGTGTATAAGAGACAGCCTCAGTCTGTGAAAGTCCCTCTCTTGTTCACCTCTCTTTCGAATTCCTGGATCTGCCAATGTTGATTTATTATATAATTATTTTTGCGCTTATTTATAATGCTTCTATTGCAATTTCACTTTATCCTCTCAAACAGTCCTAAAAACGTTTAGAGTGCGCTACTTCACAGGGGGATTCGCCCCCTTGACCCCGCCGGGGGTAGTACTGTAGTACTGCATTGCACAAAAGGTTGTGTTATACCAGGGAGTTGTTATAGTGACTATAACAACTCCTTGGTTATACTCAGATAAAACCGTTTATACTGTCAGTTATTCTATTCAAAACTTGATTGGTTGATTGATATTGTTTCTAATTATAATATATTAATTGCTTGTTATTCTTAATAGGATAATGAAATTTAAATTATTATTGAAGTGAAGTGAAAATGAACTAGATTCTGAGAATTGGGGCAGAAAATATTTTCTGACTGCCATAAAAGGGATGACCTTGCCTACAGAGTAACCTGTGACCTCATACAGGAAACATACTGTAACACCACAGGAAGTACAGAACATAATATCATAATCTCTAAAGAACACAAGGTGTGAATGTGAGATAGCAATAGGGTCATAAAAAAACAGATCATCAATGCATACAACTATCTCCAATCCAAACAAAACCATGGAAATGATAGACATGCCACTTTCTAAAAATCATCCAATTAGAACACAGAAAGTCACTTTTCCCATGAACAAAAAAGTATGGTGTAAATTGTGAAGCAGATTCAAGGGCAGAAATATTGAAATACTATTGACAAGATACTGAAAAAACAGATGTGAGGATAACTTGTAAAAAATTGTAAAAATACAGTCAGGGAAAGATGGGAACATAGACCGCGAATTATTGAAGCGAACATTTATTAATTTATTCAACAATATTTTTAGAGGCTGGCCTATCTCAATACACAAACCAAAACAATTAATAGGTAAAGACATTTCTAAAATTTAATAATACAAATCTCCATGATTATACTGTAAGATAAGATAAGATTTATTGGTTCTCTCTTTTATAACAGAGGAACACTCTCGCGCAGGAGAGGTTCGACCCGTACAACAGTTACAAAACAACAACTGACAATGTAAAAAATTAAATATTGAAAAGATAAATGAGTAAAGAAAAAATACTGGACAAACAAAACAAATGTTACTCTCATTATTCTGTAGTAATTAAGGAATAACTCAATGTACAAAAGAAAAAAAGAAAAAAAAATAGAGAATTCAATTACAGAATATAAAGTAAATAAATAAATAAAAATGACAAAAAATATAAGTTTATAAGTACAGTAAATAACATAAAAATTAAATATTGGTGGTAATGTGTTTCATTAGTTCAGTTCTTTCAGTCATTGCTTTTGTTAAATATGTTTTACAATGGTTATCAAATATGTAAATCACAAAATTTTCATTGTCTCCTTTTCCCTATCTTCCCTATCTGCATATCAATTTGAGAGATCGACTAAACTAGTGGTAGCCACTGTCTAGCATGGAAATATTTGGTGTGAATCACACCAAGGTATTCCCACTAGTCCAAAGACTTGTTTCTAGTGGGGTCCTTCTGATGGTGAATAGGGCAGTACACCAGGAGACAACCCCTACTCTTTTTCCGAAGAGCATACTGCATTTTTGACGTGCACATGGGCCGTATTGCACACAGGAAGAACAGCTTAAACGTCTCATCGGAAAGACGGTGCGCTATTATAACTTGCATTTCAGCCCTCCAGCTGGAACACAAGGAGAGTAGCGATCAGGGGCAGATTCAAAGATGTCCATCTTATACACATCTGGGGGGGCCGCGCGAAAGTTGGGCCAACGACACAACACCATCCTAGGGATTCCAGGGGCATGCCCCTTCAAAATTTTTGTGTTCTAGACGCCCAAAAATAACAATTGAGGCGTTGTGGGCAATTATTTTTTTCTTTTTCTTTTTTTTTACCTCCCAAAAGGGGGAGGGGGGCCTGGCGCTGGGAATTGAACCGGGGATGCTAAACCGTGAAGATCTCTTGTTCCCCGGTTCAATTCCCATCACTGCTCTCCTTGAGTGTTTCAGCTGGAGTGCTGAAATGCATGTTACAATAGCGCACCATCTTTCAGTTCTCTTTAGCAATTTTGTCAGTATTTTTAACAAATCACGTTCCTTATTATTGGTCACTTGTACTACAAATCAAAAAATGTTTTTCCTCCGGGAGCCTGGTTACCTCACTTGTGTGAAGACGAATCTTGTAGGGATATCGCCGAAAGACCTTGTATTACATCATAGCACATGTCCTGTGTAATTATTTTGTCTCGTGTGAATCGGATAGATCTGCATTGTTATTTAGCAGGTTTGCTGAAAATGTGCCTTGTATGTCATTCACGAACGCAAGGAAGAACCAATACCGGTGGTAATATTCTTGGATGGAAGGAAACTAACGTCAATTTATTACTATCACGTGTCAAAAGTGAACAAAAAAAAAAGTATAACCCAAATAAACAGTAGGAATATAGAATAATATTGCATAATTCAACAAATAAATAAGGATTTACTGACGTTTCATAGGCAGTAACTTGAGGATTTTCCCAACGGATATTTCACCATTCCATGACAGATGGAACATGCCCAAATCAGCCCCACCATAGTTTGGGCTGAGGTGAAAAAAAATTAGGTTACATTTCCTATGTATGAAAATCACCCTCTTAGGAGCAGTCTGTGGCTTAGAATTTATTTCTAATAAATGTTTTACCCGCAGATTTTATGACGACACTCTTATGACTAGGTCTGGGATCAGCTAGCCCATCCACTGGCGCCCCTAAGTACATCATTTGTTGCCATTGGTTTATTCTGGGCATCTCAGGACTAACATCTTCAATGTTTCTACTGAATGTGCAATAACAAACTATATTCCACAGGGAGAATCCAATCCAATAGCATTATACGAAGTCTCAATCAGCCAATTTGAGGGAGTGCTCAGGAAAAAACAAAGGTAGAAGAGTATACAATGGGAAAAAGTAGAAAACAGAAAAGAAAGAACAGAAGAAAAAGAAAATATATGAAGTAAAACAGCGTTATGAAATAAATGATAATAAAACTAGAGAAACATATATCTCCACGGTTCAACACACAAACATGCCTACCACTAGTTTTAAGCAACTCGGAAATTGCTTCTCTCAGTATACTTCAGTAGCCTCATTGAAATATTATACCAAAAAATTAAACTGACATTAAACCATAAAATTATGAGGCATGGACATCAGTTATGTATAATAGATGTTTAGATGTGAGTGATAGAATTTTTCATTTGGACAGAGCATACATTGGAATTTATGATTTAAATATTTGAGAGTTTTTTTCTGATTATGACTATGTTTATAACAGGTTTCCTGTAATAACACCACTTTCAATTTATGGTTCTGGAAAAACCAGAAAGTCAAGGAACAATACTCCAGATGGTTTCAAGAGATAAGCGAGACCGCATCATTATGTTGGACCAGACATATGGCTAAAGGAAATGTCAGGAAATGGTTAACCACGTACTGTATACAAATGATATGTGCAGGATTGATTCTGGGAGAGCTTGTGGTAGTATATACGGGATGAAGTGGCCAGGATAAGGATAATGATGATGATGATTAGGAAGGTGATAATGATTGTGATGATGACAGTGATGAAGTTTAGGAAGGTGATAATAATTGTGATGATGTTTAGGAAGGTGATAATAATTGTGATGATGTTTAAGAAGGTGATAATAATTGTGACGATGAGTATCAGTATGATATTGTTTTGGAAGGTGATAATGATTGTGATGATGACAGTGATGAAGTTTAGGAAGGTGATAATAATTGTGATGATGTTTAGGAAGGTGATAATAATTGTGATGATGTTTAGGAAGGTGATAATAATTGTGACGATGAGTATCAGTATGATATTGTTTTGGAAGGTGATAATGATTGTGATGATGACAGTGATGATGGTGTTTAGGAAGATGCTAATGACTGTGATGAAGTTTAGGAAGGTGATAATAATTGTGATGATGTTTAGGAAGGTGATAATAATTGTGACGATGAGTATGAGTATGATATTGTTTTGGGAGGTGATAATGATGGTGATTTAATGACAATGATGATAATTATGTTGTTTTAGGAGGGTGATAATAATTGTGATGATGACAATGATGATAATTGTTGATGTTTAGGAAAGTGATAATGACAATATAATAAACAAGATGATATTAAGAAAACTGTAATGAAGATAATGATAAATGTTTCTATTTCACCCTGTACAACCAATCACCTGATTGCTATTCACAGTTTGGAGAGGAACACAATGGTACAATATCAGATTGAGAGCAAACGACTACATGAATGCATTTTTTGAAACCTCTCAAGTTCACAAGTATGTGTTACATCACAAAGAAAATAAAAAAAATACACCTTTGGATGTTTACTTTTTTCATTTCCACACCAGGATGAATTTTGGCTCCGAGTATTATGTTGATAAAGCAAAGAAAACTGAATGACCTCACAGTTCTGCAGATGTATTACTACTCTAAAATTACTTCCCTTAAAAAAAGAATCAGGATATCTCGGAAATCCATAATACATCCCTGTAGGTATTGTAGGATTAAACGTGGATAAGCAGGTATAACATTACAATAACACAGCAAGACAGCAATGTAAAAGCTCCGGAAGCGAGGGCATGGATGTGGTGTGTCCAAGGACTGAATGTGGAAATAAATATCAGGTGTACTCAAAAATTGAAATGTTTCTAAGCATACATAATTTTTAGTCAGGATACAAAAAAAAAGTTACAAATGGAAAAAAGGCACCAGAATGGTGCAAGCCAATGAGAATAGAACAGTACAGATGTCAAACTGATCATCGTTCCGATGTTTATGGCGATGACGAATGTCCTCATAACAAGTATAAATAAATACATAATGAACTCTTTCTAAGAAATAAGGAACAGTCACACTTGAAATTAAGGTGAACTCAAATTATATTAAAATATTTAAATATTAACACCACACCTTGAATATTATGTTGTATGGGGACATACAAATCAAACACAAAGTAAAACACTCAAAACCGCGCACCTAAAATTATTTCAAACAAAAGTGATTCCTGTACTCAAGCTCTGCAAAGCCTTAAATGGATGAATTTAACCAAAGGTTATATTTATATACAAATGAAGCCATCACTATTTTTAAGATATTAATGAATAACCTTGCACCTCATTACTTAGGTTGTCTATAAAAATAATTACTATAATGTAAGAACTAAACCAGAATTAATATACCCAAAACCAAAAACTGACTACGAAAAAAGAGGTTTATCATATAGAGGTGCAGAATTTTGGAATGAAATTAGAGATGATGTAATAAATTATTCTGAGTATGATGTGCCCCTCCACCCCCACCCCCTGTATACTATACTCACCTTCTACACCGCATATCATTTTCACACGGTCCCGCTGTTCCACGTTGTAATGACTAAACGACATGAAAACGCCATTGTGATCATACGGTTTCTCCTGATACACACGGGCATAACTATGCTGCCACTCAAACCGTTCGAACCCATCATACTCTGCAATTTTCCCTGTGATATCAAAATACTTTTGTATGAACGAGAAAGGTAAATACACCTCGTCTCCCTCTCTCCGTCCCGGTATTGTTATGTCATCATTTATCAAACATTCAATATCCTTGTAATTCCTGTTCGCGTCAAGATCTTGCAATGGAAACGGGTTTCGATCTTCTTGTAAACCGATCACAGGGAGATGGTCTGACTTGTCTTGTTTGCGTTTTAGCTCAAGAACGTGGCTGTCCAAGTCGCATCGCTGGTAAAAATGTAATAGCGCTGTGATGAATGCGAATATGGTCACGAATAAAAGAAGATTTTTCGGGGAGAAGCGTGAACACCTCATTTCAGCATTGCTAATTTTGTTTTTTTGTCTGCAAAGAAGGAATAGCATAGTTGAGCTTGGGGCCACAAGTTACAAAACAAAATGTGGCAAAGACAAGCCAAACCAGTCACTCGTCGCAAAAATCGATTTTGAGTTATACAGTTATACAGTGTTAAAGAGTAAAATAATAGCTATAAAATGGTAAAAAAATCATTCAAATCGGACATTCCTTTATGAAGTTTTTTAAAGAACAATATATGAAAAATTAACCATCAAAGTTTATGATTTCAGGCATTTCTCATGCAGAAACTATCATTAATTCCTTAAAAAGTATTGTTTTTACATTGAAAATAGGGAAAATAACAGCATAGAATGATGTGTAAATATATAAAGGTTTAGTTAAGTGCAATAAAATAGATTTTTTTAAATTTGACATTCCAGCATGTTCTGGCCATTTTCTTTGAAACACGATTTGCGACGAGTGACTGGTTTGGCTTGTCTTTGCCACAAATACTGTTTATATATAATTTCCGGGTTTTTTCCTGCAAATTATTAAAGACATATTAATTAGATTTTTAAAATATATAACAGGATAATGAATACGACAATAAAAGATTATTTTCATTAACATTTTAAATAATAAATCAAAAACTTCACATAAATTTTTAATTCATACAAATAGTATACTGTTGGGTAGGTTGTTCCTAAATAATGAAAAAGTGTTATGTAGCAACATATTATCGTAATCTATAATTATTAGACTTCAAAGGTTTTTTTAACAGCTTTTAGCAAACCGAAATAAATTTTAATAAATAAGAAGTACACTTTGGATGAATGCCAATCTAATTTACTACAAAACATCTTCAAACTAAATAAGTTTGAAATTATCTAAAAGCAAAGGAAAACTGGAGCATACATCCTGAGACGTCTTCCCCACGGATGAACTCGCCCATTATCGAATTCAACTCCGTCACTAACAGAAATGAAAAACTGTTGAGCATTTCATCATCAAAACCTGTTTTATATTAAAGAGTGTCTGAAGGTTTTATAATATACAGCCAGTACTATAGTTGTATTTACTGTTAAATGCTTTTTATAAAACCATGGTAGAATAAAAAAAAATATCCATATAATCCCTATAATGTCATAATATACAAAACCTGCTTAAAATTTGTCACCCTACTGTACTGTAAACTTCAACTGTTAAAATTGTACACATAAGTTCTAATTTGCAAATGCCAAACAAAAATAAAAATTGAGTTGGAATCAAACAATATATTGTCCATAACAGACTAATGAGACGTCTTCCCCACGGATGAACTCGCCCATTATCGAATTCAACTCCGTCACTAACAGAAATGAAAAACTGTTGAGCATTTCATCATCAAAACCTGTTTTATATTAAAGAGTGTCTGAAGGTTTTATAATATACAGCCAGTACTATAGTTGTATTTACTGTTAAATGCTTTTTATAAAACCATGGTAGAATAAAAAAAAATATCCATATAATCCCTATAATGTCATAATATACAAAACCTGCTTAAAATTTGTCACCCTACTGTACTGTAAACTTCAACTGTTAAAATTGTACACATAAGTTCTAATTTGCAAATGCCAAACAAAAATAAAAATTGAGTTGGAATCAAACAATATATTGTCCATAACAGACTAATGAAACCAACTGGTGAATATATGTCCAGTATTTGACAGGCTCTTCATTAAAAATTGCAAAAAAAAAATAAAATAAAATAAATAAATAAAGAAAGAAAGAAATACTAAACTGACAATTAGCATTAGGCATGTACGCCCACTGATCGCACAACTTCCAGTGTAATTTAGGCTAGATATGTACTAAAACTGAGTATGAGAGCAAAAGTATATGTAGTTTAAAGCAAAAAGATTTACAAGATTAACTATATTCAAATTAGGTTTGTTGTGTAACAATGTAAATACAATATACAGATTGGATAAATAATATTTATTTCATTTAATTCGAACACGTTATTATTATAATCCATTTGTTTAAGACAATTTGTTGGCATTTATAAAAATTGCAGAGCTAGACAGTTTCTTACATTTTTATCCCTTTGGAAACATACACAGAAACAAAATATGTTATATTTCGACAAAAGCTTTGGTAGATAAGAATTTCGGAAATTTCAGTTGTATTATAATTACTATTTTTAACCACATACAAATCTACCACTGTACAAACAGGATTTAAAATAAAAAACAAAATGAAAAAAATTAAATAGTTCAGCTTAAAACACAATTAATTTGCAATTTTTCCGGAGTGTGGATTTATAATATGCCTATATATGCGGAAAAATTTGACATTGATTCCTTTTAATATTAGATTTCAATTGATATATTAAATAAGAAAAGCATTTCCTTGATTCAGCAAAAAAGTGTTTTGATCTAGTGCCCTATAGAAATTTGATGTTTTTTTTAAAGAATTGTTTACATGCAAACCATGAGTGCTCTAGCCATAGTACTTGACAAATCTACCACCATGAGTATATATGCTATTAAACTAAAAAGGAAAACTGGTGTTTAAATGTCTCACCAAGCTGTTGAGACATCACTCCACTTGCATACAATATTGAGATACACTCCCAGGAAAGATTTTAAGCTGTTGATTTGATTTTAAGTCTTTTGACTAAATTTACGAACTACTGTATTCCATCTGTTTAATTGTTTTCAAAACCTTTCGACAACTAAAGTGTTTAGCTGTTCACCAGCTTGCAAAACTGTTGTCCACTCAAAGCCTGAGCTGTTGACTTGCTTCTAAAATTTTAACCAAAAAAGATTAAGCTGTTGACTTGAAATCTTATCACCAAATTTAAGTAAGTAACTATTCCTTAAACTGCTCAACTGATTTCAAAACGTTTGACTACTAAAAGCTTAAGCTGTTTATTAGCTTTCAAAACATTTGACCACTTGGCACTTTCAAAACTTCAGACAATACAACAAAACTCTGTTACTCCAAACTAATCTCAAAGCTTGAGATTTGTTTAAATACTTATATGTTTCTACCTTCTGACCAAATGAAAATCTTGAGATGTTCACTTATGCTCAAAGCTTAAATGATGTTTGAGTTGTTTTGAAAAACAATAGCAAAGGATACACTCAAAAAATATACCACGAACCGTTTCAATGTTGACTCTTCTGGAATGTTGTTATTCTGCTTCAGAATATTCACATTACAAGAACTTCTTTAATCATTTTTTGCTTTATTCATGTTTTCGAGCCAATTAAACATGTCCGCCATACATTGAAATTAGTAACTATGCCAATTTATTGTCAATTTATTAAGCACTCTTACACGATGGTTTCACAACTCTATTAGGCAAAACGTTTTCATATCCAATTAATAGCAAACATGCCGCCTGCCAACAATGACTTTGAATAAAAATAAATTTTTATTTTTGGCCAATTAGTGTATCGCCGCTACTAAAAAATGGATATTGTAGAACAAAATTTGAAGTTTTTCTTTATGTTTATTACACCCACCACTGCCTAATTATATAAACTTATAACATTTAATCAACCCATCCCATTACTACACCAATAAAATTTTATTTCCATCTGGATGTTTTTGGCAAAATTATTTTCTAAATAACAAAATAAAATGTTATTCTTATTTTCTGCCCTCCTCTGACGATCTTAAAAAAAATAAGTTCGCGAAAAAAGGTATAAAAAGTCCCCTCTTAGCGAAAAAAAAAAGATGAGTTTTGCGAGCAGTTTTGAACTCTTTCAAAGTTGGAGATTGAAAAACGTAGTAGTTTGTTATATAGGGATGGTGCAGCAGCATAGAAAGCCTTGAGAAGTGGAATGAAACAAAATAAAATAAAAAGCAATATAAAATTGTACTTACAACCCGTCCTCCACAGATAAGTCTTTCTTTTCACCCATCATTTACAAATAATAAAAAGTCCAAATGCGGAGACCAACAAGTTTCTGTTATTGGCTCACAGGCTGTCAAACAACGCAGAGAATTTGCACAAATAACTCAGGTGAGCAGGTAAGGTGTTGATTGGTAAATTCCACTAAATCACTTAATAGAACACAACCTCTTTATATTCTAAATTTAGAAAACACAATAGTACATGATAAGCAGTAATGAGTCCGGTTCTCTATCCTTATGAGTTCAGGCCATAGACCGGTAACTGGGTTTTTCACATGAACGGTCGTAAGTCTTCAACAAGTTCCCTCCATAAATACAGATTATAGGAACAAAGAACAGGAAAGACTGATTTAGCGTTCCAAAAAACTTTTGCTTGGATAAATCGACAATGAGAACTGGCACCAAAATTCAGACAGCTTCCTGAAAAGTGTATTGCATATAAAATAAATAGAATTCAAGTTTCAGATAAAATCTGCAAACATTTGAACATGCTTAACAACATAGGGTGAGGAGCGATCTATGAGGTCAACACTCAACCTCTGCTGATACTGGTCTACTCCAAGGCTGAACAGATGGGTTACCAAGGCAGGAAGTTTACGATCTATCATTTGGATATAATGTCCAATTGTAGCTGCTGGAATTACTACCGGAGTGGTACAGCACCTTCCCAAGTGTGTGCACCACTTGATTGTAAACTTCCTGGCCTTTAGAGAATGACAATTCCAGACACCAATACTGCCTAAAATCTACATAGCCAAATAAAGTCATAGGACTAAAATGGAATATCTACAGTCTTCTGATAGCCTGTGAATTCTTTTGGAATTAAATGCACATTTTTGGGGCTTTTCTACTTATAAACTCGTTAACACATGATATGAAAAGCAATTCAGCTTACCATCCTCATAAAAACAACTTAAATTACTTCCAAAAAAAGAAAAATTTATATATTTATAACAAAATATATTACAAACAGGGAGAAGTTTGTACTTTGTGCTGGTTCGTTCCTACTGTATGACCATGGGTTACAGTATTGCGCTTGAGCCTCTCTAAACATTATTGGTTTGAAATTGGCACAATATAAACTTCACAATATTATTATTTTATATTAATCTATTTCTAACAGTTATTCAGACCAAGAAGGTACCAATACTAAAAAATGTAGATACCAAAATGGTTGAATCCTCAGAGTGATGAAGTTCAACATCAACTCCTGAATTTTCATTCATTTTTTTTTTTTTTAAGTTCAGAACAGGAAACTATATTGTTTATATAGCAGTTAATGTAGGAGCATGTGGTAAAACATGTAAAGGTGTCTGATCGTGAGATTGGGAGTCCAAGACCATTGCTTGTGTCTTTTAGCAAGGCATTTTACTTACGTTTGCCTCTCTCCACCCAAAGAGTATATAAATGGGTACCTGGTAGGTAAGATGATTTGCATTGAATGATTGGTTGTGCGTGATCAAAGCAGCATGATGAGAGATACTGTACTCTCCAGGGAGGAGAAAAAGTTGCACAAAATATGCCAATATTTGCATATTTATATTTTATTGTTTATAAACCCTGTTAGTAGCAGTGTTCATTGCTGTTGATTTTTGAATTAATAATAAAAAAAAATAAAATATAAAAAATCAGTATCCACTGGCAAGGGAATAATTGATGCTAGCACCTTGTATAATCTTCAGATTGTTTATAAATTCAGATGTTCTTAAAAAAAAAGTACCATAATATTAGTTAAATTAGTTAAATTCATATTTATTGCATTAAAATATCCAATATCTATTTATTAAAATTCGTATAGAACTTTGGATATTCACCTTAAGATTTATTCATGTAACAAATAAAGTTAATTACATAACAAATGTGATAATGATGCGATTGTGGTAGTCGACTATTGTGGGCATGATCAGATTGTGATCACGTAAAAATAACAAACGTGCCTAAAAGCATGATCTGTACTACATAATTAATTCTATTGTATAATAACCATATTTTTGTAATTACTGTGAAGACTGTATTTTCGCGCGCCCTTTAAATTTCCTTAATTATATACGGCTGTCGCGAAAATTTAAGGAAGCATGAAAATCGCTCAATTCTGGATGCTATTTTTGTCTTCAAAAGCAAAGCTACAGCTAGAATACAGAAAAATCGCAAAAAAAAAGGGGCCACAAAAATAAAAGGCTTTACGGTATTCAAATGAGTATCCATTCATTTGTTAGAAGTGTCGTAATTAAAATAATATGTTTATACTATTGTACTATTAACTCTTTAAATGTCACATAATGTTTCTGCTGACCCACTTTGCACTAAAGTACAATTGTTATTGAAACTGCATAAAGAAAGTATAGAATAAATATACCAATTGTCCCTTTAAGCATGAACTTCAGATAGTAATTAAGTAGCTTGTAAAGGGAAGTGGGCTTCCAATGGCTTACACGAAATGGGACAAGATGGAACGACAAAGCAATAAGACCGGCTAAAATAACAACACATCCAACAGCTTTTTCCGTTCCTAATCGTCACTCTCTTTGTTCTGCTAATATTTGTACGATCTTGTATACAAGTTGACACAAGTTAAAGGAGAGTTGCAAATACAAATTTTCTCTTAATTTTTTTGTCTGAGATGAGATCGTTATGAAAAATCGCAACGTAAAAGTTTTAAATTTTTGTCAGAAAATGAGAAATATATAAAACTGTAAAATCTGTTCTTTTTTCATCCAGTAGGTTGTAGACCATAGCTAATTATACTAAATCATGACCTTTCCAGCGACTGACTAATTAACATGCATGGCAAAAATATGCAGTGAATCCATAGATCAATATAGAAAACACTCTCTCTGATATAACAATAGATGCATGTTCCAAAAACTATCAATAGAAACTACAGTAACATATTACTATATTAACATGTTGACTGCCAGACCATTTTTTAAGGTTTCTTCCCATGTGCCAGAACAAGTTTACATGTACAAACATCCTTTTTGCAATTCCATCTATTCATATATCATAAAAATGGCTTGTCTAATATATTTGCAGGGAAGTATTAGGGGACGTGAGTAAACTCATCACCAGCAGTGGGACAGCATTTTTTATTGTTTTTGCCAAGTGCGAGTTGGTATGTTTTCAGAGGGCGCCCCCCCTCCCCACTCGAGTGTACTGCTAGAAACATAACACAACAAGCACACATACATTATTTGTAGGTTATCGTCTAGGCGTATCTTCCCCATACTACCGCCCGTTAAGTCTGTGGTTCTGCAATGTATAACAAAGAAGTAATAAACGCTAGAATGTTATCCCAATTTTGACAAGTATAGTCATCCCTAGCACCCACAGCAACACCTTGTGGGACAAGTACACTCGTCGCTGGCAGCCGTGTTACTGTAAATGAAAATCTTAAAACCATAGAAACATAAAGTAATATTAATGGAATACGATATACAATTAGCAATACTTTGAGCTATCCAATGTACTCTGTATAGTAGTAGTGGGCCGCATTCTTTGTACTAACAGTACAACCGTAAGTCGCTGGTCATTGTTCAACTACCTGTAAAGCCCTGTGTTCCTTGTATACAACACTTGTGCTACCGATATTGTATGGTTTACCCTCATGGAATCCATATACTGAAAATCTGTCTTCAAAAATAGAAAGGGTAAACAGAAAAGTTACACGGATGTGCCTTGGCTGGAAATGGCATATGATGAAAGATTAAAGTGTCTCCATATGTGGCAAAGACAAGCCAAACCAGTCACTCGTCGCAAATCGTGTTTCAGAGAAAATGGCCAAAACTTGCTACAATGTCAAATTTTTAAAAATCTATTTTATTGCACTAAACTAATCTTTACATATCTATACATCATTCTATGCTGTTATTTTCCCCATTTTCAATGTTAAAGCAACACTTTTTAAGGATTTGATGATAGTTTCTGCATGAGAAATGCCTGAAGTCATAAACTTTGAAGGCTGATTTCTCATATATTGTTCTTTAAACAGCTGTATGTTTAAACGCTTGTAACTTCAAAAGATAATATCCGAGTTGAATGATTTTTTTATCATTTTATAGCTATTATTTTACTCTCTTACACTGTATTAATAACTCAAAATCGATTTTTGCGACGAGTGACTGGTTTGGCTTGTCTTTGCCACATATGCCCACTCTTGAAAACAGAAGGAAACAAACACTATATCATTCACCATTAAATGCTTATCTGGATACATACAATGCAATTCCATTCTATCAAACACAATAGTAAATCCAAGATAAACTGACTTGCTAACTTTTAAACACCATTATGCACGTACTGAGGTGCGAAAATACTGCACCATCAACGAGTTCCCACGGTTGTGGTCAAACCTACCAAATACTCTCAAAGCCTCTGTAGTACTGGACAACCTTAATGTATTTACTGCAAAATTGAAAGAACATTACAAAACTATTATCTAATTAATTTATTTATATTTGGGTGTGTGTGTATAAGTATGTACTCTATGTGTGGATGTATACTGTATGTGTGTGTATTTATGTATATATTTATATATATATACTTTGTGTAGGCCTATGCATATTGATTTTATTTTGAGGTTTTTTATAAATTTGTTTGTGTATTTTTATTCTTTTTTTTTTTCCTACTTTTTAATCTTATAATTTTATATTCTTTTTTGTTTTTGTTTTGCAATAATGATTAAGTCTCATTTTTAAATTTCCTAAGTATTATAAATTTTTATTATATATTATCTTCTATTTTAAATTGCTGTTTCTCTAACGATGGATTAACTAGCTTGTGAGCTACAGCGATTTTAATTGCTTTTGTTAATCCTTGCCTCCTTAGATTTTCAGTTTTATTCTGTTTTGTGAATTTTTATTTTAATGTATGTGCAAATTGTAATGTGATTTTTATAAAAGGCTAAATAAAGAATGAATGAATCCTCTGGTATAAGCTCATTCCTCATGAACACAAAATTGGGCTAATTTTAGGGGGTGGGCCTATTCCCCCAGGAAATCCCTTTTTTAACCAATGGCAAATTTCTGGCACTCTGTGCTTAATTCCAGCCCATATTTAATGTTCATTTCTGAGTATATTTGTAAAATTCATACCCTGGGCTTTTGTCTGAGGAAAGGCTGGTACATGAAATTGGGCATAAATTAGGGAGTGGTCTTAAACTTGAGTTTGGTTTATACCCGAGAAACTATGGTACAAGTATATATTTTCTTTGCATAACATTACCATAAACTAATGACAAAATTAAAACAACAAAAACAATACAAAAACAATAGAATCTACATGATAAACAATACGAAATTACACTTAATAGTAAGCAGCAGTAGAGCCTCATTCTTTCTATATAGTCTTCCCCCCAAAAAAAATTTCAATATGGATGAAAGTATTTTTAAAATGTAAAATCAGAATGTGTGGCAAGGACAACATAGGACATGTTTTAATATATTATACCAAAAAATGTGATTTAAATAATAAACAATTACAACTACAGTAAAGGTTGCTTATTTGACATTTTATAATATCAAACCATACCATCCACATCTCCAATGCTAAATTATTTCTATTTTAAATATC